CCCACCCCCGCGCCCCGCGCCCGCTTCGCCCTGCTCCGCGGCGTCGAGGCGCCGGCGGAGCGCCGCGCGGCGGTCGAGGACCGCGGCCTTGCGCTCCGCGGCGGCCAATAGCGGGTGGCCGGGGTACCGGGCCTCGGCCGCGGCGACGGCGCCGCGCAGCGCGTCGGCGTCGTCGCCCTTCAACGCGGCGGCGACCTTGGTCAGGGCGAGGCCCCGGGCGCGCAACGCCGCGATCTTGCGCTTGGCCACGAGCGCGAGCGAGTGGTCCGGCGCGGACGCGTCCGCGGCGGCGACCGCGGCCTCGAGGGCGGCGAGGTCCTCCGCGCGGAGCGCGGCGGCGAGCGCGTCGAGCGCCGCGGCGCCCGCCGCGTAGGCGTCGCGCTTCCGCGCGACGGCGCGGAGCTCGTCGGGCGGCAACTCGGCGGCCTCGCACTCGGCGAGCGCGTCCGTCCAGCGCTGAGCGCGGAGGAGCAGGCCCGTCGCCGAGTCGTCGCCGCCGCCGTCGTCGCCGCGGACGCGCGCGCGCGCGGCCTCGCGCTTCGTCTCCAGGACGACGCGCGCCTCGAGCTCCGCGACGTCCGCGGCGCCGAGGAGCGGCCGCGCGGCCTCGAGCGCCGCGGCGCTGGACGCGCGCGACGCGTTCGCGTCCGCGAGGACGCGCGCGACGATGCCCTCGGCGACGGCGACGCCCGCCGCGAGGATCGTTCGCCGCCGGTCGTCGATGACGGCCAGCTCCCGGGCTTCGAGGCCCCAGGCGGCGCCGCGGAGCAGGACGGTCCGTAACGCCTCGACCTTGGCCGCGGCGTCGCGCGCCTGGAACAGGGCGTCGTCGGGCGCGCGCGCGGCGACCCTGGCCTCCAGGCGGACGCGTCGGCCGTGCGCGGCAGCTCCTTGGCGTAGGTCAGCGCCTCCCGCAGCTTGTCCAGGGATGCGTCCTCGTCGTCCGCCGCGTCCTTGACCGCTCGGACCACGGCGTCGCGGCGGTCGAGCGCGAGGACCTTCGCCCGCGCGGTCATGACGATCGTCTCCTCCGCCTCCGTCAGCCGCGGCGCCTCGACGGCGAGGGCCGCGATGGCCTGGAAGATGGCCTCGCGGTCGTCGCCCGGGGCGGCGGCCCGGAGCGCGTCGAACGCGCGGAGCGCGCGCGCGTGGCGGTTCCGGTGGACCCACGCGTCGCGCGCGAGCTCCGGCGAGAGCACCGCGTCCGCGGCCTCCGCCAGATCCAAAAGCGCCGCCGCGGACTGGCAGAGCAGCGGCGCCGCCGTCGCCGTCTCGAGCCGCGCCGCGACGAACGCGGGGTCCTTGTTCGCGCGGAGGCCCTCGAGCTTGTTCGCGAGCTCCGTCTCCAGGCCGCACGACCGGCCGTCCGCCAAGAGGTCGTCGAGCTCGCACGCCGTCGTCGTCGCGTCCGCGGCCGCCGCGGCGCGTCGCGTGCGCTCCCGGAGCTCCGCGACCTCGAGCTCGCCCTCGATGGCGCCCGCGTCGACGGTGCCCTGCGTGCTCACCTGTGTGGAAATCAAATCTTCAACCCGACTTCAATGTGAGCGTATGCGACGGTTTCGACGCAAGGCTTTCTGCTGTGCTTCGAGAACTCGATGAGAGCAATCGATTCGTCCAAAAATCAGCCGAATCGACTTCGATTTGACCGAGATAGAGAGTTCTGAAGTTTGGTTGGGATAACCCAGCTCACTGGTTGATTTCCACACAGGTGCTCACGTCGTCCAACGAATCGTCGTCGCGGCGCGACCGCCGCGCGTCGTGGAGCGCGTGGACGAGGGCCGCCAGGTCGTCGACGCCGACGCCGGACGCCGACGCCTCCGCGTAGATGTCCTCGAGCGCCTCCGGGTCGTCGCGGATGGGCGAGCGCGCGGAGACGGCCCAGCGCGCGGACTTCTCCGCCGCGCGGCGCCGCCGCGCGTCGTCGTCGGGCGACTTTTCCACGTCGGCGGCGCGCCGGGACCCCTCGTCGGACTCCTCGTCGGACGCCTCCTCGATGGTCTCGAGCTGGTCCTCGTCGCGGAGCGCCTTGCAGACGGCCGCGACGCCTTGCACCGCGTCGTGCCAGTCGTCGCGGTCGCCGTCGAGGCACTCGACGAAGACGCGCGCGCCGTCGGCGCACTCGAGCCCGAGGACGCGCGGCTCGCTCTCGGACCGGTGGGTCGCGCCGAGGGACGCGAGGCTCACGCGCCAGACCTCGAGCTCGTCGAACGACGAGCCGTCGTCGCCGGGGAAGTCGCGGAGCGCCGCGAGGAACGGGTCCGCGGCGACGCCGCCCTCGCCGTCGCATCGGCTCGGCGCGAGGACGAGCCACTGGGGCTGGGACCAATCCTTGTCGCCCCAGGCGCCCCGGCTCGACACCGTGCCCGACTTGAGCACCGTCGATAGGAGCTCGGCGCGCAGGGCCGGCTCCTTCTCGTCGTCGTCGCTCAAACAGTCGTACTCGCCGAGCTTCTGCACGTAGGCGCCGAGGGCGCCGCGCCACTCGTTCATGTTGGTTTACGACGCGATCGGTTAAGGCGCGAGGTCGGTGCTCCGATCGTGTTTGTGGCGAGGACTTCACTCTGTGAATATTGCTGCTTATCCAGGGGGGCTAGGGGGGTACCTAGGCGAACCGAGCTAGCTGAGCTAACCGTCGCAGCGTAGGTTGGTCTTGGAGGAGCACATCAGGGGTGCAGTATTCGCGTCCGAATTTTCGACGAGCGGCAGAGCTAGTAGTTTTTGTTTTTTTTTCAAGTCGCTGCACATCCGCTCGTCGTCACTTTCCTTCTCGATTTTGCTTTCCTTCTCACTCTCCTTTTTCCCTTTCTTTTTCTTCTTCTTCTTTCCCGAAACATTCAAGTTGCTCTTCAAGTTGACGAAGGCCTGGAGCTGCGCGCAGACGCCGTCACTGAGCATAGCGAAGTCGACCGTGTGTTTGCCTTTGCTGAGCACGCGCGACGACCCGTAGATGATGTGCACGACCTCCATGGTGCTTCCAACGCACTCGGGCAACCCCGCGACCGCGTCGGCCAGGGCGTAGCGCATCTCGAAGGACCAGGACGCCGTCGGGTTCACCTTGCCGGAACAATCAATCACCAGGTTCACCTCGTCGCGGTAGTAGGCGAAGCTGCCGCTCGCCGTCGCGTTCGCCTCGCCGCCGTCGTCGTCGCAGTTGCCGCTGTCCAAGTGGCCGCTGTCGTCGCCGTAGGCCAGGGCCGCGCCCACACCGCCGTCGGCGCTGCAGTCATCCACCGTCGTCGCCGTCGCCGCCGTCGCCGTCGCGTACGCCTCGCCGCCCTCGCCGCAGTTGCCGCTGTCCAGGTGGCCGCCCTCGTCCGTCTCCTCGACCGCGACCATGTTGACTTTGTCCTCGGCGGAGAGCTTGCCCGTGCAGAGCTTGTCCGTGTTTTGGGTTTTTAGTTCGCTGCACATCACGGGGTCGTCCTCGTTCTCGTCCGTCGTCTTCGTCGTCATCGTCGTAGCCGTCGTCGTCATCGCCTCCTCGTCCGTCTCCTCGACCGCGACCATGTTGACTTCGTCCTCGGCGGAGAGCTTGCCCGTGCAGAGCTTGTCGGTGTTTTGGGTTTTTAGTTCGCTGCACATCACGGGATCGTCCTCGTTCTCGTCCGTCGTCATCATCGTCGTCGTCGTCGTCGCCTCGACCCGCGACAGCCGCCCGCCGTCGCGCCGC